AATTTGTACAGTTATATAGGTTATTTTTTGATAATTATTTACGTGAATACGTATTACAATTTTTTGATATAAATATTTATGCACATATTCTAATTTAAAGTAATAATAACGACTTACAGGTTTAGAATCCTTAATCGTCGTTTTACTTATGAATGATAATTCATGTTCTTACAATATTGTAGGAGCAACTAGTTTTAAATTTGTATTATAATTGAAACTATCCATATAACAATCACGACATTATACAATTTGTGCTACACTGCATTATTTTACATGTTTAAATATGTATACATATGTAGATTTACTAATATTTGCAGTTTTATACGCTCTTAAAAACAAGGTTACGCTATTGAACACTGAAAATTAACTCAGTAATTAAGTAAATTAAACGAAATCCCGAGTAAACGTAACCCTTACTTACTTTACTCTGGATTTAGTATAGTTTATTAAGTAGCTTCAGCTACTTTATGTGAAGACTTTGTCCGTCTGTCCGTCTGTCCGTCTGTCAGCAGGATAACGGAAGAACGGATCGAGATAATCGAAAGCGGTTTGCGCCATCGTACATATGACCCCAGGGGGAGGATCCTATCAACTTTTGGGGGCAACCAGACCACCCCCTTGGCGTCAGGGGGTGTGGTCGGGCCAAAATGAGATTTTTAGTGCAATTGAATCTAGGGGTGAAGTAGAGTGAAATTTAGTGTTCCCGAGTTGTGCCACACCCCCTCGCCGCCAGGGGGTGTGGTCGGGGCAAAATGAGATTTTCAGTGAAATTGAAGAAATGGATGCAATAGAATGAAATTAAGTGTTCCCGCGCTATGGTTGGGGTGAAGTGAGACTGAAGCTACTTCCGTATGCGCGTTTGCGGCGGTTTATTTAACATAGCATTTACACTGCGGTTGTTTTTCAAAATGGGAATATGATCTATTCTTAAAAGAGCAAGGAGTCAATAATACATACATACATATTTCGATTAAAATTAGGTTAATGTAATAATCATTTATTCAATGAATAAAACTTATAACACAATTTTAATATCAAATTTTAACTTTAATATAAAATTTTAATTTTAATATAAATTTTATTCTATTTGGATAAATCATTCCCCAGTTTAGTCATGTATTTTACCTTTCGGCTATGTCACCATCTTTTTGTACTGAACCATGAGTAACTTTTACTTAAATACTTTTACCTACCACGAATCAGAAGAAGTCTCGGACTTTTTGAACTCACCGGACGATTTCAAGAATACCAAGCAAAAGAAGAAGTAGACCGACCTTGTCAATGCGCACATGACAAACAACTGGAATTTTGACTTAAGTTACTTAGATAAGAAGAATATGTCTATCGAGCATGTACTTTTTTTACACAATATAAATGCAATTATAAAAATTGTATATGAGAGATGGAAAGAATTACTTTATGATGAGAAATGTTATGACGGAATATTATGTTTGTCAGAAGTGTTATCAAACCCAGTTTCTGTGCTACGAGTTTAGCCACTAGAGGGGTCAACAAAGTGAACTCCTTCGAGAAATTCAATACGATGCTAAATAAGCTACGCGTCGGTCCCGTCCATCCCCCTTCTCGCGGTCTAAAACGCCGCTCACAACCCCATCATGCATATAATTTAATAGTAACGAACCACACTTACCTTTGTGAAGTTCTCTTAGTTTTAACTAACATATTCTCGTTTAAACCTCAGGATAGTATGTATGTGATGCGATTCCATTTGCGTTACAATGGTTTACTGCCCCTCTTACTAAACATTGGGCGACAATTATTATTCGCAAAAGTAGGAGGAACCGTTCGACTACTTTCGAATGGACTTGAAGCTCAATAGGGGAGATGATTTACGGAGAAGAGCACGTGCGAATATTGGAGGCATGTGATCCGGAGACTCAAGGGGACGTTCGAGAAGAGCAGGGAGCTGAAGCCTCAGTTCGCCGTGCAATCAGGAATATCGAACGACGCAAAATTAATCTATGCAGAAAAATGGAAACCATTATGCAAACCTGACCAACGAAGGTATATATACTTGGCACTAAAGCAGGTTATAAGGTCCCGTTCTGATGTTATGGTGCGAGGATGATACATAAATTAGCAAAAAGTTTAATTTTTAACGTGAAGCTAAAAAATGCTTATTTAATCTTAATTATGTTACTATGCTTAACTATTCAAATATACCGATTAATGAAGTGTACCTTACTTTGAACGTAAAAATTAGTTTGACAAATACGGAGACAATATATGTATAAATTCTTCAAGCACATGTGTAATATTTGCGTCATTTTCAAACTTCAAGTTACCCCATTTTACCGGTAATGGAGCTGTGCACAAATTTCTAAGCTAGCATTATATATATATGTAAGATGATTTATGCTGCTAAGTAAATACTTCCAATAAAAGATACATTTAGGTATCAGTAATTACGCTTTCCTTACTTATCACATGCTTCATTGCAAAAGACAAAACCAAAAAAGAAAACTTTGTGGTTTATAGTTCCTTAGAACCTTCCTAGCACAACTAATTTATGACAGAAACGTGCCCTTAAGATCCTTATAAAGCGATGAATTTTTACCTGTATTCAACACGTCGCAGTTATTCCTACGATGTGTGTACCGATTGACCAAGATACATATTAATATGCGCATCCATTTCTCTAGTAAATAGAAACAAGAAAAATATAATTACCAAAATTCTACACCGTACTGTCATTTAACGAGTTTTGGCTATTTTTTGCTCAAAGTTGCGCAAAAAGGATGGTGACACAACCAAAAGATAAAACTTACTTGGCATTTTGTCCAATTTAAGTATCCTCCGGGAATTCGGACAGTTTGGCGAAAACCGTTTGGGCGAAAAATTTCGCCATCCGGTACTTTCATGATAATTGTTTTACCATTTTGACGAAAAATTTATTTTTGCCAAAAAGGCTTTCGCCAAACTGTCTGTCAATCATCCTCCCAGTGGATAACTTTGAACATATTTTGCACAAGGTTGGGTAAGTTTTACTTTCTGGTAAGGTCATCTTGTTTTCTTACTGAACATTGAGTAAATTTTACATACATATTTTTATTTAGAGTATATATCTAGCACGAATAAGAGAAGTGTCGACTTTATTGGCTCATCGGACGACTCGAGCTTAATCCTACGTAACATTCTTGCAAACGAAATCCAAAAACGAACGCTGTACACCCTTATGCAATTGGACCTTTTATCAATAATCGATAAATATCATTTGCAACTCAATTTGCAATAGATTAATTAAATTGTTTCCAGGGAGAAATAACAATGCAAGTTATATCAACACTTTCAATAAGTCAATACTAACAAATATTTGAAGTTTATCAAGGTTAGATTAACATAGTGATAAGCGTACTACATATGATAAGCGTACCCATATGAACATCAAAAATGTGTAAATTTGCCATTTCAAATGTTTCTACTGGTAGTGAAAGCAATGAACACGGCTGTGGAACACGTGAAAAGCCATACGGATTACATAAATGTAGATTCAGTGATTTACCTTCAACCACATGCTTCTGAATTCCACTAACATTACATTAATTATACATCAAAATTTAAATGTGACAGTAGATTTGTAACACACATTTATCAGGCAATAAATAAAAGATTCCAAAAATGTAGGCAAAAATGTAGTTAATGAAAAATATTGGTTTTGTTGCCCATCTCATACATATATAGGACTACCAAGGATTGACATGGATGACCACATTGCCCTTGGAGGACAGGGTTAATCAAAAGATACTGTAAATTGAGATTCATTATTTCTTAATTAGTTCACTTAAATATGCAGATTTGTATTGGCTTCGCAGATATTTTGAGGAATTAATCTTACAATGGAGGCGCAAACCATGTTCAGCCCAGATAATTTTTTGACCTTATTAGTTTGAAAGAGCAAGTCTTTACAAACAACATTTGGTTCGGCACTTGGGCAGATGCGCAAATTTCAGCACGTTATGGGCGCCGCAAGTTCGCAAAAACGCAGGAAGTTGAGCTCGCGCTGGGCATTGCCCGAAAAATCGTTTGCAAACTTGCGGCGCCCATAACGTGCTGAAAGTTGCGCATCTGCCCAAGTGCCGAACCAAATGTTGTTTGTAAAGACTTGCTCTTTCAAACTAATAAGGTCAAAAAATTATCTGGGCTGAACATGGTTTGCGCCTCCATTGTTAGTACTAATAATACCCGCTATACTCGTTTCCAGGCATAATTATTTCTATGTAGTCCTTGAAAATTACACACGAGTTCACACGTACAATTGCGACTATGTGTGGAAAGGTTGATTTCGTAAAAAAAACTAATGTCGGAGAGAGTTGTAACTTTCCCTCGGAAAAGTTAGGAATGAAGATTTATGTATGCAAATAAAATAATGCGATAGACTTGAGAATAATTAATGTTTCATGTACAAGTGTCGTTTCACGATTAGTGATTGTACATGGTTTAGTTCATCAGAGTCCACCATTATTTCCCTGTCTACCCACCAATCTTATTTATTCCGGTGGAAGAGTTTTCGAATGTCATTCCGTCATCTGTATCTAAAATGTGGTACGTACTATTTTTTAACGGAAAACTTTTTATTAGTAAATATTAATTCGCAGAAGTTTTTCAACCTCTTCAACTCTAATCTAATAATTGCGTAAACTCAAAATTGAATAAAGATCTTCTCTCGATTCTCAACCTGCCTTCCACAAGTCGACACAATTTATTCATCATCTCCTCCGAGTGACACAACTTCCTGGCCATTTGTGGGGTCATTGAAAGGGCTAATAAAACAGCAACCTTACAACGCCAAATACTACACAATTTAGTCAGGATTACTTAACACCTTCAATACTTCCGGATGACAAGAATACTGGTTTAAACAAATTGCAATTTCTCTCATGAGAGAAATACGAACAGTTATTTATCTACCGGATGAATGAGCGTATAGAAGCATTTTTCAAGTGTCTTGATCATAATCTTAATTATGCATGTCTAATTATGCTTTGTGTAAGTGTTCAAATCTATTAATAAACTGTACCAACTTTGCATAGTTGGAATGAAAAGAGGATTTTTAAATACTTGAACAAATACATAATACCCAGTACTCGCTCAAAACGCGTGGAATCATGGATTTCACCAGAAACTAAATAACTTAAAATAAAATGATTTAAAGTTAAGCGAACAAATTGATGAATTTGTCATCTTGTTCACCTTACTACATAATGATTGGTAGAAATGGAACCTAAAATTAAGTAAATAAATAAAAAAGGACAGATCGAAAGTCAGATGAATATGGAGAGACACATCCTTTGACTTTTCCAGCTTATAATATAGATTTAGAAGGTTTGCAACTGCGCAAACGAATTTGCTCTTAAAACTAAATATGTACTCGATAAATTTAAATTAAGCTACAAATAAAACTTTAAAGTTATCTTAGCTAATGCAGGAATGCTCCTCCATTTTTCGTTGGGTGGTTTTTGGATACGGCATGTGGAATTATTTGTAGTTGCGTGTATGTATTCTTCTGAACAATGTTGGGACGCCAATTGTTGTGAGCTAAACAAAAAAAATTGCTTTTATTAGCGTGCTTACAAGAACATGTTATTTAGCGTTGCGATTAATTTGGACAATTTACGACGCCCTAAAGATTTGCAAATATGATTTCCGAAATTTACTAAAGCAACTCATCCATATTTATAAATACCTATTTGCGAAAAAAATGTAATTTTGACAAATTCATTCAAATTATACATACATTGTGTTATTAAATTTCTGCAACTTCTCACCCTTCCCTTGGGAGGAAAAGTTTTCGAAATTATTTTGTAAAATAAAAAAAAACGGTCAAGTTGGTGAGTAACTTTGCCATAAAACCCTATGTTTTTTTGGCAGAAGCTTTTCAAAATGTATGTGCCACTTACATAAGCTGAATTTGTGAGACGGTTGACGTGAGTACGCCCTAATTTTGAGAATGTACGCATAATGCATTGCAGTTTTTTCATACATGCATGCATGCATGCATATCTACATAAGTACGTACCTTAGTCATGATATTCTTAACGTGTTTTGTAATCATTCGCCAACGAAACAAATTTAGGATTTGATTGTTCGGGTACAAATTTAGACGATATTTCGATGTATAACCTATAAATTAAAACATATCCATAAATATGAAAAAAATGTGTCTTTATTAAAAATTAACTAGTGGTTAGTAGATGTATGTACATATGTATGTATACCTCAAAAACTTGCACGTACCGTTAACAAGTCGAATTGTGTCCTAATATTTAACTTGCATTGTTGGACTTAATGGGTTTATTAAGTTAAGAGATTTGGATATTTTCGGGTGTAAAAAACGATTTCCACTTGTCCAAATTGGGCCAAAGATGATAACGTTCTAAATAAATTGAAACAAGGAAATACCATGAATTAATTATTACACACATACTTTGATTATTTAAAACTTTAATAACAATCCATATAATTTAAAGTTTTAGAAAATAACTCCAATATTACCTAAATTGAACCTCATTTTGTCCAGATTACACAGTATCACATTTTAGCTACAAATATATTTTTAAAAAACTACGTAAAAAGAACTACGTAATATGTAGAAAGTCAATTTATTTATTGAGCCTCCTTCACCTTACTAAGAGGAAACTGCACCCAGAAAGTGGTTACAGCATACTGCAGATATTTTGCATTGTATTAAATCCCTTGCACTTAACAGTTTTAAGAAACAAGCAGGTTTTCGGAATGTGCGGAAAGGACGTCATAAATTTTTGAGAAAATTGGTATCCCATTTTTTAAGTAATTTTTGATTTATTAAGGTCCGTAACTACATTTGTCGAGGCACATTAGATGACATGCTGGATGCACGGTCCCACACGATACTAGACACGTCGTCAATGACCTGTGTCCAGAGTACAGGGTGAGAATCAACCAGGTTATAAAAACTTGCGTAATATTGTGTGCAAACATAAAGAATGTTACGTATGGACAACATTTTCGTCACGAGGTGAAGACGATGTTTAATTTTGTATTGACACGACATGGTGACTTGAACTGCTCGGGTGAATACGTCCATTATGCAGGGCCCCCTACACTGGTAAAAAGGAGAGTGCGTAGCAACGCATGAAATAATATGTAATGTATGTATGTAACAAGAGATGCGAAGAATTTTATGCGTGTGGGTTTAGCTAAGTTGCATTAATATTAAGGAAAGGTGTACACTTTTTTGCCGTGATGGTCGCCATGGTAACGTGTCGTGCTTAAAAAATGACCTGCATTTGTACAGGTTCTCCTAAATCTATCCATGAACAGGAATCATTGTTAATATTAAATCAAAGATGTAAATATTACGGATTTTTCGGACGGTCACCATAGTAATCCTTAGGATTAGACGTGTCCCTCGGATGGGCCTTTCGTTATGATTTATGCGGTACGGCAGCATGAATTTCTCGTTTAGACATTTTTTATGCACGTGTCGTCGCGATCAACCGGAAAAAATTGCATGATATGAAATAATATGTACAATGACAGGCCAGAACCTGTGAAGTATAATACATAGGATGAGATGCCACTTGATGTCAAAATAAGACCATTTTTTATCACCATAAACACCGTCGTATAACGAACTCTGTCTTAGGAATGGGCTACTTACGCATAAATTTGTTAGATTTTTGGCCATACCTGTCCATGAAAATAAATCATTCTTTGAGCATCTTTCTTGGATACGGTTTAAATTATACATGTATTTTTCAAGTTAAAACATGCCAGTAATTACTTGGAGAGTTCATATATGTAGATACATATGCATGTTAATTACAAGACTAATGCCATCGATACATGAGTTGTAACGCTGGATTACAATGTATGAATTTTTGCAATCGAAATATCATCATATTTTTAAAAATATAGAATTAATAAGGGAGCATTATTTATTAACATGTCTATTCAAAAATGTGTACAGTTAGGTTAATTATTAACAATTATTTAAATGAATATGTAACTATTAAAATTTAGCGATATAAATGGACATTTACACGTCATAATTTAAAAGAATAATATGTATCTATGTTTGTCACTACACAAAATTGTGAGTAAATTTTACCTAATTTATTTAGATTTTACCATAAATAAGCCAAGTTTCCAACCTTATTGATTCATTAGACGATTCAGAACTTAATCTGACCTAACATATTTGCATACGAAATACAAACACGTACGCAAATAGATCCTTTATCAATAATCTATAGATATCATTTGCATTTATATCGTCAACAGAGAGACATTATCTCACTGAGCGATTCATAGTATAATAGGTTATGGATCAATCTAATTGTTTATAGCAAGAAATAAAAATGAAAGTAATACCAACCCAGGTGAAAAATTTAATGGATTTTATGCATAAATTTGGCTGGTTTTTATGCAGAGAATTGGCTGGTTTTTATGCAGAAAAATTTATGCCGAAACAATCTGTGCATAAAATGTGCAGAATTATGCATAATTCTTCAAAACCTTTCTGCAGAATATACCTGTCAGAACTTTTATGCAGAATCGTTCATACTTTTTCTGCACAAACCATTGGTCCGGGCAGTTGTGTCGAATTATGTCAAATTCGACACACGATTTTCACCCGGGAAAACTATCAATAAATAAATACTAACAAATACCCTTTGTTAGTTTTTTTTACACAAGTTTAGCAAGGTTTGTATTACAGTAGTGAACAGTGATGTATGAAAAATGCGCCTGGAAAGGGTGCAAGCCTACCATTGCAAATGTTTCCACTTGTAATGGAAGCCATGAATAGTGTTGTCGAGCATGTGAAAACCCATCGAATTTCATGTAGATCCAATGATTCTGCATTGAGCTAACATTAACTATGTGTATGGTTCCGTATTCCACCCACATGCCTTGTTAGGTTTAATTGTCGTGGGGAGAGATTTCTCTCTCCCCGAAATAAATATCTTGGCAAGAAAGCCAAGAATAAATCGAATAAAATAACGAACCCAACCAGAAAACAGGGTCTCTCACAACATCGGGAACCGAGGAAGAAGAAGAAGAAGGAATAAGTTAAGTTAAGTTAGGATTAGTATGTAAATTAGTATGTAAGTTAGATAGTTGAGTAAGTGAAAGAAAGAATAAATGACTTAAATACATAGAAACACAAACCGGAATTGTTCGGGATGAAATAAGTACCCCTAATTGACAAGAACATACAAAGAAAAGAAGTACAAAGGGGGGTGCAACCCCGCAACACAAATGGTGCCTCTTAGGTTTTCCAGCGACCACCCCACACTTAGTTAATACATATTTCAGTCTAAAATAAATAACAAAAATTCAACTCGTTATTGCTCTCCCACCACCACCGCAACTTGTGCAATTATTTCGTCGCATCGTTCTGCCAACTTACCGACTTTCGACTACCATAAGTGTACAAGTGCCAACGTCAATAATTTGTTGGATCGTTCTGCAAAATTCGCATGTTCGGACAACACCAAGTGTAGAAGTGTCACAGTGACAATAATCAACACCGAATTTTTCTTTGTGTCATCTCGTCCCCCTGTGACAGGATTACGTTGCTTAGGATTGACTTCTAATAATTGGTCTGAGTGTTATAAAATTTTATCCAATGGCTACTCTTTTGCATTTGTTACACCTTAACCAGCCTATTTTATCTGAATCTCCGTTATCCATTTTAGCATTTATTTTCCAACAATTCGCCTGCTATCGTCAAAATTGCATAACCTCAGCGGAATTGGAGGCTCAAGCTGTAATGATAATTTTAGAACAACTAACCGCTTTGCAACCACACCCCTTCTTACATTTTTTACCTCTTAGCGCAACTCCCCTTAATTTTCTCGAGCTACTTACTCGAGTCTATATATCTCACGCCGATAGCTTTCCTGTTTTTTTTTCGTCAGCATGATGTTAATAATGCAGGGTTCGCCCGGATTTTCATCCCAGAAATTTTTGTTTTCATTTAATAACTACGGGTTTGTTATGCTATCCAAAACGTGCATGCAGGTCTAAATCATAAATAATTCTCCCTCCTCTCAAATAATTGGACCATTTATTCCATTCACATTACCAAAACTGGTTCGGTTTGCGTCATGGTAATACCTACTTGTTTTCTTTAACAACCGTCTTGACTAATATTTGCTATTTTGAGCTTCACCAAAAATTTTGGCTCGAGTAACAAATTGTCCTTGGCTACTCGAGTGGTAAAAAATTTTTTATTTCCCTTATGTCCCATTTTGGGGCATGCCAGCTTTTAATCGTTTGCAGAGTTTGGTTTTCGCGTACCTAGTTGAAATTCTCACCCGGCGGTGGCTGCGCTATTTGGGGTGCAAAATTTCAGAGCCTGCAAATTTGTTTGGCAGGTGTTCAACTCAGTGCTTAGTTATCTTCTAATTTAAAAATAAAATAAAAATATTTCTGACTTCTTCTGACCATATCAGGACATCGGGCATTTTGCCAGGTTTAGACTAATATTGATGCAGTAGTTACGGCACTGTGACTTCTTATAAATAGAACTTTGGTAGAGTTTTACCCTCTTTCCGCGACCCCGGACTTCTTCATCTCTGCTCTTGAGCTCCAACCATAAGAACTCTTCACATCACACTTCTGGACTAAAACTAGGTTGATGATGTATGAACATATTTTTTTGTGTCAACCTTAATGTTAACTTGGCTTCTTATACATATTCTTGGGTGTTTGTGACCTCGGTCCAAAAAATTTTAATACCATGCAAGTTACAACGTTGGGGAATAAATTTTTTGGGAATTTTTGACCCCACTCCGAACCCTTTAGCTTCAAAACTGACGGAGTTACAATTTTTATTTCATGCCCGGCAAGGGTAATTGTCCAAAAGCTTCCCTTTGTCTCATATGCATAGCTTGCATACACGGTGCTGTTATATCCACGTCCCATCCACGTCATTGGACAATATGCATGTCCGACTCGTTAGACACAACTTGTACCAACTTTCACTCATTTTAGGGGAATTCATGTCATCATTCACATAACATTTAAATCAATTACTTACAAAAAAAAATTTTGTTTCCAAAATTTTTTTTTGACCCTCTGTTCTACATTGGTCGTCAACATTTTGTCACATGAGCACTGTAGTCTGTTCTAAGCACTTCACAGAAAAACGCTGGGATCTATTTTCATCTTTCCTTTTTCCTCACGAATGGAACAAAATAGCTTGGCCCTTTGCCACAATCCTACCCTGGTACAACTGCATTTTTCTTTCTTTCTCCGACGGGTAAAACTCGGGAAATTGATTTCACTTGTCTTATAACATTTCACATATATGTCATCTTTAACGAAACAATTAGTCTCTACTGTAATAATCTGTGATGGTTGTTCGTGAATAGTTTTGCGATGAAGATCACAAAAATGCTTGCTATCCTGGATAGACGCATCAGAGAACACGACCAAAATATTTTGAGATATATTTTCATGAGTCCCTATGATGAGACAAAACTTGCCTCGTCCCCAATACAGCCATCCACGGAAGCAATACTTGTTCACTTGACCTTAACCTTGACCTTAACCATACATGTTCAATCAACATGTTAGTGTCGACTTTGCATATCCCGGACAACTCTAATTGCAATGACCGGTAGAAGTCTCATTAAAACAACTTTCCCCTCGGGTTCATTCCCTCTTTGCATCCAAACCCTGGTTTTCAGGAGGAGGTCACTACAATGGGGGAATCGAACAAAATCAATCAAAGGGAAAGTAACTTTCACTCACATTTCATTGTGATTCTTGGAGTCCCATTTTAGGTTATTGAATGAAGTTTTTAAAGGAAGGAATTTGAGAAGGAAATACTTTTCAGAAAGAAAAATTTTCCGTCAGTACTGTCATTTCAAAGGTAGTACTCACGGAGAATTGAGGATTTGTCTTCTTTTCTAGCCTTGGGTCGCCCTTGCAGGGAAATCGTTAGTCCCATGCAGTGGCGCGAAAAGTATCATGGTATTATTACTTTTCTGCTCTTTTTTTAACGAGATCAGGGTAGAGACGTGTAATTTCTGTGTGGAGGGGACCATTTCCGGTTTTGTGAGTATTTAAGGGATTACAGATTGATAATTTTAGTTCCCTCGTTCTGTCCGCTTTATTGTGTCGTCAAGGTAAATCGGCTATAGGGTAACCGAATGCCTAAATATAAATTTACTCAGCCCCTACGAATTTGCCTAGACTATGGAAAATGTCAGCAATTCAACAGGGTGGGTTACATCTTAAGAATATTTCAAATGGTATTGATTATTCTTGCCACACCAAATCCGAATGGTTAATCACCCAACCAAAGGGGTCTCCTTCAGGCACCCAACCGTAAGAGGTGACCACGAGTAAAATTTTCAATCGGACCGGGGAAACTATTTCCAAAATTATGAATTATAATACATATTACCCTTGCTCTCTTAAGGTTGGACAGAACGAATCTCCATTACACAAATTTTCTCCTGTTTGTCTATCATAAATCCAAAACTGAATTCTTTTAAATAAATTTCTTGCTACCATTGCAAAAACAAAACCATATCACACATATATGGGCAAAAATGAGTATCAGTTCACTCAACACATTCTGATTTTATTAAATTGCCACCCAGTGCAATCCTTAAATCCAACTTTCAAAACAAATTTCAAAATAACTTCATCAACAAACTATTTATGTATTACCTACGATGCCTACCCATGAAATACCGACATTTATTCATCAAACATTGCTATAATTTGCAGCCTAGGCAGACAAATTACACCATGTTTCAAAATTGCCACAATTTTATTAAATGATATAAAAATTTTGCCAATTTTACATACAGAAGCAATAAAAAGTTACCCACAATAATAACCAAATCCAGGTAGAAAAATTACAACCTGTTATTCAAAATTGCCACAATTTTATTAAATCATATAAAAATTTTGCCAATTTTACATACAAAAAGCAATAAAGTTACCCACAATAATAACCAAATCCAGGTAGAACAATTATACCATGCTATTCCAAATTGCCACAATTTTTTTCGAATAATCAATAAACAAAAATTTTGCCAATTTTCTCTACCTACGGCAATAAGCAATATATACTCTATGCACAAGATGATTAAACCTTTTAAGTTATGAAATACTCAAATGTTCACTTACATATCTTTATTTTATTGAAAACAAAAACAACAGCAACAATAATTAAAATGATCATATTTCAAATTGTTTATAATCCACCAATTATCAGGAATTATCATTACATATAACTTTCAACAGTTCTGAAATTATTCTGAATTTTTGAAATTTTAAGTAATTTATTATTCAACTAAGTGAGATATAAAAATCCTCCTCTGAGGGGTATTCACTTCAAAATTAATAATATTTTACATGGCTAATATTTGTTTCCAACTACTTATTATGACGAGCACCCAGATGACAACCCATGTCAGCATTCCTGACACATAACCGATACTACACCACACCCACCAGGACGCGCCCACTTGTTCCGTCGACTCCTTTCCTGTCGTCCTCGCGGTGTCCGGCTCTGTGTTTTCCGTGACGAAGGGAGACGAGTGAATCGTCGCTTGATTAACTGTCTCGTCATCGCTGACTTCATGAACCGGAATGATGGGGGAGGTCGTTGGCGACATTGGGGTCGTTTCTGAAAAAGAAATGGTCGTTGTCTGTTCCGAGGAGGGAATCTCTGCTGATGAAGGAATTGTCGTCGTCATGATTGTTGACTGTTCGGGGGTTAATGGAGTCGTTGTTGGAATTTCAAGCAAGGATTGTTGCTAAAACACCAAAAATCAAATACATATATATACATTATTATTATTACATATGTAAAACAATAAGATATTGACAAATTATTGTGTTTACCAGAAAGGGCCAATTGAACACGAACTGGGAAATATTCAATGAAGAATCGTCCATCCATGCATTTAAAAGATGCACGGGCAGTTCTCCTGTAAAAATAGTGAAATTATTATGAAAATTAATTAACAAATCAAATCAAATGTAAAATTTATATAAATAATATGAATAATTAATCATGTAACAATATTATATACAAAAGTTACTCACCAAAATTTCCACATCCCACATCACGTCCATGAAATGAAGTTATTAGGAATCTGCACCAGAAAAACTCCGGGAAGGCGACAAAATGTAAAGCAATAAATTCTTCATCATCTTTATTTGGAAACTTATGGCACGGTACACAAATTTCGTCCCCACCTCGTATCAAGAATAGATTCTCTTCTGTTTTCAAACACGACAAACAAGACTGTAATATGTCCCGTGATAATGCAAGAGGAACATTTTGAGAATGAACAATGGAAAAGAAAAATAATAATATCAATTTTAACATTGTTAAAATTTAAATGAAAATTCTATTATTAATGATATTCTTCACGTTGTCAAATTATGACTGAGCGAATAATTATTATACTGCCATTAAAAAACGAATTTGGAATGTAAGCAGTTTTGTTATGACTTACGAGAAAAAAAATTGGAGATGTTTTATTACATTTAAAACAAGAATGTAAAATATGTACAATTCAGCATAAAATGTATGAGCTAAAAATGTATGTTAAAATACGCCCATAAAAATTGATGATTTATTATTTTCAATTATAAATATACGATGTGAATAACCTACTGTCATTTAAATTAAAATATGATAACATAAAAATAATTAAGATGATAATTATACCAATTTCTAAAAAAACGTCTTACAAAATGAGATTCACGCCATATGTAAATTTTTATCCAACAAACAAAAATTGTTATTCAAAATAATTAATCAATGAAATTCAAACGCCAAATTGAATGCATTTTTAGTAAATATGTAAACCACTTCAAGATCTCAAGGGCCCAGGAGTGTCGTGGGGAGAGATTTCTCTCTCCCCGAAATAAATATCTTGGCAAGAAAGCCAAGAATAAATCGAATAAAATAACGAACCCAACCAGAAAACAGGGTCTCTCACAACATCGGGAACCGAGGAAGAAGAAGAAGAAGGAATAAGTTAAGTTAAGTTAGGATTAGTATGTAAATTAGTATGTAAGTTAGATAGTTGAGTAAGTGAAAGAAAGAATAAATGACTTAAATACATAGAAACACAAACCGGAGTTGTTCGGGGTGAAATAAGTACCCCTAATTGACAAGAACATACAAAGATAAGAAGTACAAAGGGGGGTGCAACCCCGCAACATAATGATACATAAAAATTTTAGTATGACCAAAGATTTGTATAAAACATTTAACAAATACAGAAAATAAAACATTCCAAAAATGTACATAAACTGATCCTGCATACATTTTTGGATAATTCACAAGTTTGCATTGTCCTCGCGGGTGAGTTCGTAATCGGTGTATATTGATAATCTGGTGGTTTTAAGTGTGCTTGTAGCTCTTTTATTAGAGTTTGGCTGTGATTGTGTTACATATCCTAATAAATTTATTTGTTTTTATTAAAATGGTGGGAAAAGGAAAGCCTTTTTTTGTGCCTTGGCTGGAATTAGCGACGAAGAATGGGTAATTTTGGCATTTGTGTAGATGGGATAACAAAATCTTATGCCTACCACTGAGTATATTAAAGGTTACGGAAACGGATATCATTTTGATCCCGATCTCGTACGACTCTCAAAGATTAACTACAAACTTGAGACGATATTGCACTACTGGTTGTGTAGAGCATGAACCAAAAGATTACCTAACTTCAGATTCATTATTTCTTAATTAATTCACTTGAAATACGAACATTTGTTTTGGATTCGCAGATATTTTGATGGATTAATCTTTTGTCAATAATAATTCTTGCTATATTCGTTTCTAAACCCAATTATTCCTGGTTATTAAGCAAATAAGTACTTAGAACTCATGACTTTACATACCAGACATTCGGGATGAGCAAATCCAACACCTAATTTGACAGGTTAACTTAATCCGATAATAATAAAATTGTATTATACCGCCAGATGTTATTTTAGTGGATTGGAAATTTAAATAGGAGTTTGGTTTATACAGAAAATCAACCTTCAGAATGCAAGACCTTTTTTATAAAAATTTATAAAACGCTTCGAATAAAGGTAGCTGACAAATTGCAAATGTTCCTATAACCAAGTTATATTCTGTATTGTTCACTGAACACTTTATCATAGAATGAAGCATATGTACACTCATGACTGAGTGTCTCAAAATTTACGTAAGTGAGTTGAAGAAAAATCTTGTGATGTTGCCCATCTCGTGTGACTACAGAGGATTAACTTCAAATTTAAGACATAATACGAACCACCTTGCACTACTTGTTGTGAAGAGGATTAACTAAAAGATTACGTAAATTGAGATTCATAATTTACTTCAGAACCTTCAGAACAGAAGATCTTTTTTTAATAAAATTTGAGAAAACACTGAATAAATATAGCTGACAAAGTTCAAGTGTTCCACGAACTATATTATGTATTGTTATATTATGTATTGTTCACTGAGCACTTTATCGTACATGGATAAAGTACCCCTTTGATATGTATGTACTTAGGACAGGTAGCAAGACAGACGAGGTGGGTTTTGATGACAAGTAGTGTTCATAATTATAGATTAAACTTGTCCTAAGGATATCGACCATGTTGCCGAATGTGTCGCAAAAAATATGCATCAAACTTAAACCACATACAGGGTGGTTTAAATGGCAGGTTACAATGGAAAATTTTGCAATAGGAAAAATTCGTAAATTTCTTTACTTGACTTTTCCGGAATTGGGATTGAGATTTTTATTAATTTTTATCAAAACTTGTGGAACACTGATGACAAAATTTTTAAAATATTGAATTTCAGGAGCAAAATTACGGTAAGTAATGGGGATTTGCGAATTTTTCCCATTGAAAAATTTTCAATTGCAACCTGACATTTAAACCACCCTGTATTCTTAAATTTAGCTAAAAATAATATTTTTTAGAGTGGTCTTCACCAGTTCAGGAACTTTTCTCATTTTCAAAAAGAGGTTTGAAGGGCATGCAGCATTATGTGTACTTCTCAAAAATACTTGGTTGGTACCTTAACAAAATGTTGGGTATTCGTCCGTGTACCCAAATATTCACAGGGTTCGTACATAAAAAATGTCATTAATTTTGTTCTTCTTCTTACTCTTGTCATGTTGATTCTTCCAATTTTTATAATCATTCACTCCCGAAAGAATGAACCATTTTAATCTGTAAAATAAAATGAATTTATTTACATTAAAAATAAAATAATGGTTCGTTTATATCCCCAAAATTTTTGGCGTACCTTAAACCAGATCGAATTCTATTCTCATTTTACAGGATAGATTTACGTATGTAGACGCTTGTAATAGTTTTGGATGTATGTACACAGCGATTTCAACCTACGCGGACCGATCCGGATGTGAGAACATAAATAGATAAGTTAACAAATATCACGAATTAGGAAAAACTTAAATATTTAAATAATTAGTTACCATCTTATTTCAATTATTTAAACTATAGATCATGAGCTGGGAACTTATGTATTTAGAACTCTTACCTGAATTGAGTCACACTTTGTCTTCATCCCGATCACAATTCCTCCCCATGGAAGAATTGTGTTAAATCGACATTTGAAATATTTCTCAAGAATTGTCTTCGTCACTTTATTGATCCAGTTGTACGAAGAGACTGCACCCAGAAACTGGTAGAATTTTTGAATTAATGCGTTTCCTGAAACTGGTTTTACGAACAGGTAGCTTTAGGACTGTGCGGAAAGGATGCGAGATAAGTTTTATTTTTCCTACATAATTTGTATCCCTTTAAATAATTCGTAACGAAGAAAATGGTAGTTTAACTTAGAAATATTTTAATTAGTTAGGAAGGCAAAATTCGACCTGAAAAATCTATTGGAATTTGAAGAGATTTTAATACGGGATTTTATTTATAAACGGATTTTATATAATTTAGCGATAAGGGATTTCTCGAATGCCAACCGAATGCTAAATTTGAAGTTTTTCTTCCGAAAATTTGGACATTTCACAATATAATATTAAATTTGTAATGTTTCACTTTCTTCGAGTTTTATTAAACCTCTGGAATTCCTCCATGACCACAACATATTTGCGTACATATGTACATATGTACATATAACGGCCACGAATTTATGCATTTTATGAATTTATGCAGTAGTCAATGCTTCTCGTTACAGGGTCAAAAATAAGAATTTGGGATTTCTTGACGCATTTGAATTCATACATATGTTCATATACCTATTGAGGAAAATCGATGCCATGCCATTTGCACGGTCCCGAGGCAACACACGTGTCGATGAAATGTGCACCCCATCAGAGAAAAGGTTAGAGTAAATCTGTTATAAAAATGTGACGGTGTTGCATAAAGAATTTCATCTTAAATTTAAGACAATCTTTACGTCTCCAGGTTATACCTTATGTATGTGCTTGTTTTTTTTTCATCCAAAGGATGGGACAGCTTTTGCGGACACATCCACAATGCAGGGACTTCTTTAAATACGTGGCATGATTTGCAATAGCATGAATATAAAATACCTGAAGGATATTCCGATCGGGCTTGAAATTTTTCTCTGGTTTTCGCTTATTTCGTAGTATTAGTTTTCCAGGGATATCCGACCAAGATTTCTAGTCTGATTCCGATAGATGTTTATTATCTGTAGGCTTCAAAGACATGCAGATTGTGAGCATCACTTACCGGTCATTATCCATTAGCATACATAATTGCGCTATTAACGTAACGTCCACCTTAAACCGAACATGACAAGTTTATGGCAATGCTTGTTGATCGGATTTATTTTCGGTAATTAATTCAATACATTTGCATGTGTGAAATACTTATCAAAAAATATCTGGTCAAAAATACGTATAGTTTAGTTATTTATGTATGTATAAATGCGGAACAATTATTTAAGTATTATGTATAACTAATCTAGCTAAGCAGATATTTATATACCATATTATAATTTTAAGGGGTGACACATGCCAATTAGCAATAATTTAATTCAGTGCACCATTTGGCCGCCTTTTAACACATTTACCTTGGATCTTGTCAAGTAACCTGCTAAATTGGCTAGGCAGCGCTTAAATGCTTTTCTGCTTGCTAATACCGCCCTCTTTATCATGTTCCTGCACTCCACCAGTAAAGCTACCCCCGCCACCGCTATAACCGTCGCACATAAGCCGAAAACGTAAAACAAGGCGGGAAACGCTTCCCCTCCATTAGAATTATACATTTGGACGTTGGACTCTCTAAAATCGAAACTGAATTTTGAAAATGATTTGCCTTCTTCCCTAAAAATGTCCATGGAACGTAATTTTGTCCTCATAATTTCGAGTAATTCCCACCTCCCAGAAATCCCCGATTCCGCCAATCTCCCAAAAATTTTCGCAATTGGGGGCGAAATGTAATTCTGAGTTGTGTAAGTCTTCGTGTTAAACTGGAAAGGGGCCACGTGATAACTGTCGATAACCAACCGCTTTCCAATTGTTTTGAGCGGTGCCGTTATTCTGGCAAGGTCATCGGTTGGATCCATAATTGCAAAAGTGGGACTTGTCCGAATTTCGGAGTTGTTTAGCGAGATTATCCCTGAATTTGAAATTATCCGGACAATAGCAAGCAAATCGTACTTGGCGGGGGGAAATGTAGACCATCCGTTGGACAAAGTTTAACAGAGATGAGGCAGATTGATGATCAGTCCTTAACAAATGTGGCAGGATGAGAAATTGGATAAAGGAGTAATCCTCATCCGGTTTTCGGAATGAAATTGAGCTGGTTGTAAGAATTGTTAAATTCGATTTCGCTAAATCTTCGAAACTTTTAGGAACGGCGGGAAATGGGGTAACCGTCAAGTCGGAGGTGATTGACCCCTGGTACAGATTTTCCATGAGAATGTAACCCGCAAAAAACCAGACGGTCAGGATGGACAAAGCTTTTCTCTCTTTTTGCAACCAATTCACGATATCTCCGCCATTCTGATTGAGTAAGATTGATGTAAATGTTATTAAATCGCTAAGAAATAAGGTACTAAATTCTGCCTTGTTTTTAGGGAGATTGCGTACAAATTGTTCGGCCTTGATTTTAGGGAGATTGCGCATGAATTGTATCACTATGGTTATTACGACGCATAAAGTTATAATTAAGATCCACGTGGGCGTGTCAAACGGAGTAAAAACGTTGCCAAAACTACTCTCTGCTTTTGGAAATTGAGTAACTATGGAAAATCTAAATTGACCATTTTTTAAATTAAGAAGCGTATAGCCGTTCCCATTATAAAAGCTCTCTATACTAAAGAAGACTCCACCGAAACCTAGTTCACCCCCGACAGTTTCCGGTTTAAAGGCAGAATCTTTAAAGATACGTCGGTGTACCGTGGTGAAATTAAGGTAAGTTCCGATCGAGTAAGTCAGGCAGGACGATAAAGATTCTGAGTCTCGGAATGTGGCCAGACTCGGGCCACAAGAGGTTGATTGGTCAAAAAGTGTAACCCTTTTGATAGCGTAGTTAACAATTAGAAGGTTTCCGCGCATATCCAATTCATTTTGCAGGTGCCAAATTGTGTTTATTGTATCGAGCGAGAAAATTGGCGGATGGAGAAATGTCAAATTTCGACAAGGAATGCAAGGAACATGAATACCATTTTGTGCAAAAAATAGTATCTTGGACGTCCCGATAACGTCTATAAGGTTACCATCGTAGCGGAATGAGGGTAACACAAGGACAAAGATGTATTGCGTCGTAGGGTCTATCAAAACTTTGAATTCTGTCGCGAATAACAATGAAGGGTTTGAAATAAGTAATATTTCTGGATAAGGGGATCGTGTAATATGATTTTTGTCTCGTGCGAATGGAAAAATGTTAATAAAATTATGTATAATTTTTACACTTTGATGGTACGAAAGTGGTAAGAAATTTTGAATTCTATATTCCCAACTATCCTCCTCATTATCCAGGATGAAATGTAAATCAAACTTGTCTAGGGCCAAAGTGGTGTTAATTTTCAGGGCCATAAGAGTTAAAAATATCAAGAAGGGATACATTTTTGAAGCAAAGTAGCTATTTGGATCAGTTTAATTTTTTAGGGGCTAGATAAGTACATATGTAACTCTTACAAAACTCTTACAATTTAGATTCCTTTTGCGTCGCTATGAGTGGAAAAAATATGTATCGATCAGTCAAAGTCAGTTTGTTGTACATGCATCAAGCTGAAAAAGCAACGCAAATAAATGATGGATGAGATATTAACAAACTAGCGTGTAAGCCCGTCTCCCTAGGAGCGAGAATGTATTTATTTTTTTAAATTTCACCCCATTTGCAGTGTTTCGTTTTCCGTCCAAAACTATTTTTACCACGGCAGGTAAGAAAAACCGGGCAAAATTGTTTTGACCCACCAAAGTGGAGAATATGCTGGCCCATGCATTCCTTAGTTACGGGGAGAGCTAACTTATTTAATAACCAAAATTATCGTAATTGGTTGGACTAAATAGAGGCTACATGTGGGAAGTAAACAGTGTTGAACGGGGCTAAAAAAACCGATTGACGAAACTATTTACCATCAGGCATCAGGCCACAATAGCTCGATAAATGCAATCTTCTGATAACGATCAACCATCAGGATGCTGCACCCCGATAACCAGGATCAGGTAGAAATTTCTAAATAATAGAAACCATCTAGCAGCAAGGCCACGAAATCCTACTTACTCAACCCCCACTTGCTGGTTAGTTCCGTCTCGTGTTCAACATTTTAACCGAGAGCATTTTCCACCACATTTACTGATAATTATTTTACAAAACAAAATCAGCATTTTGCAACGTGATGAAAATTGATGATCGAGCTACATGTGTAAAGTTTTAGATGAATATGTATTAAAATTAGTCCGCAGGAGTAATTCGCGTAATTCGCGAAAATGAATTTCCCTTCATTTTAATGATAATGACTTAACGATTGCGTCATTTCAGATGAATGACTGTAAATGAAAGGATTTCTCACTCCTTTAATCTTTCACCCCTGGATTAACACATGGGGCGAAGTAAGAAATGAACTCCGATGAAGTGAAATCAAATGAATTCGAAAGACAATGACTGAATGTGAATAAAATTTTTAGATCAGGTTTGCATGTGTACGGCACAGTAGTATATTATTATCGGATTTGTTAGACTATATTTACCAATATGGTTGAAATATGTATGAACACGCAACCTTGGGTAAAGGCAAATTAATTTTTCATGTCCAAACTGACAGAAGAAATGGTAAATAGCGATGTATTTATATATAAGTGGGTGTGAACTACTTTTAGAAGAGTGTAGATTTCGTGCTAGCCGCTAAGCACAATTTCAGATTAAATATTTTATCATGCATCTGCGTATGTATTGAAATTTAAGTGAGCATTCGAATTCAGGGAGCATTTACTGTTTTTCAAAGGATGACGACTATTTTTTAGAGTCTTCACCATCCAAGAAAATATCTTACAAAGGAACATACCGAGGTGTCCAACGGAATTTGATGAGATGCATTTTTGGACCATTTTTTATCCTAAACATTGCCACTTAACGTAATGTAAGTAAGTAGCTTATATAGGAGTGCGATATAAATATGCCGAATTATTAAATACGAAATTCATCTATGCAAAAAAATTATTTTTCCAG